TGAAGAGATATGGAGAGAGTGGACAGCCTTGTCTTTTTTCTAATTTTAGAAGAATCACATTGCGTTTCTCTCCATTTAGTTTGGTGTTGGCTGTATATTGCTTTTATTATGTTTAGATATATTCCTGTTATCCCTGATCTCTCCAAGACCTTTATCATGAAGGGATATTGTATTTTATCAAAGCTTTCAGTATCTAGTGAGATGATCATGCAGTTTTTCTTTTTTAATTTTTTGTATGGTGGATTATGTTGTTGGATTTGTATATTGAACCATCCCTGCATGCCTACTTTTTCATGGTGGATGATTTCTCTGATGTGTTCTTGGATTCGGTTTGCCAGTATTTTTGCATCAGTGTCCATGAGGGATATTGGTCTGTAGTTCTTTTTCTTAGTTGTCTTTTTGTGTCTTGGGTACCAAGGTAATTGTAGCCTTATAAATAGGGCTTGGCAATGACCCTTCTGCTTTTTTGTGTGGAACACTTTGAGGAGTATTGGTATTAGCTGTTCTTTGAATTTCTGATAGAATTCTGCACTGAAACCATCTGGCCCTGGGCTTTTTTGGTTAGGAAACTTTTGATGACTGTTTCTACTGCATTAGGTGTTATAAGCCCATTTAGATTGCTTATCTGTTCTTGATTTAATTTGGTAAGCGATATCTATCCAGAAAATTGTTCATTTCATTTAAATGTCTGAATTTTGTGGAATACAGGTTTCCAATGTATGACCTAAAAATTCTCTGGATTTTCTCAGTGTCTGTTGTTTTGTACCCCTGTTCAGTACAGATTTTGTTAATTTGCATGTCCTCTGTCTGTTTTTTGCTTAGTTTGGATAAACGTTTGTCTATCTTGTTGAATTTCTCAAAGAAGCAACTCTTTGTTATATTGATTCTTTGTATTGTTTCCCTAGTTTCTACTTTATTGATTTCAGCTCTCAATTTGATTATTTCCTGGCATCTACTCCTCTGGGGTGAGTTTGCTTCTTTTTGTTCTAAAGCTTTCATTTGTGCTGTTAATTATCTACTGTGACTATTCTCGAGTTTCTTCTTGTGGGCACTTAGTGCTATGAACTTTCCTCCTAGTTCAAAGTGTCCCAAAAGTTTGGATATTCTGTGTCTTCATTCTCATTGTATTCTATAAAGTCTTTAATTTCTTTATTTCTTCATTGACACAGGTATGGTGCAATTGGACATTGTTCAATATTTATGAGTTTGTAGGATTTCTCCAATTTGTGTTGTTGAATTCTAACTTTAAAGCATGGCGAGCCGATAAGATACAGGAGGTTCCAATTTTTTTTTTTTTTTTTTGCTATATTGTTGATTTTAGAGATGGTTTCATGTGGGGCTGAGAAGAAGGTATATTATTTTGTGTTTGGATGGAATGTTCTATAAAATTCTGTTAAACCCAATTGGGTTATAACTTCTATTAGTTCCTTTGTTTCTTTGTTAAGTTTCTGTCTGGTGGCCCTGTCTAGTGTTGAAATCTCCCGCTATAAGTGTAAGAGGTATTATGTGTGATTTGAGATTTAGTAATGTTTTGTTTATGAATGTGGGTGCCTTTGTATTTGGGGCATGGATGTTCAGAATTGAGAATTCATCTTGATGGATTTATTCTGTGATGAGTAAGAAATGACTTTCTTCGTCTCTTTGGGTTGATTTTAGTTTAAAGTCTAATTTGTTAGAAATTAGGATTGCTACAACCACTTGTTTCTTGGGTCCATTTGATTGGAAAATCTTTTCCAAACCATTACCTCTGTCTGTTATGGAAGTTGAGGTGTGTTTTTTGTATGCAGCAGAAGAATGGATTCTCCCATTGTAACCATTCTGCTAGTCTGTGTCTTTTTATAGGTGAGTTAAGAACATTAATATTAATGAACATTGATTGTTAATTTCTGTTTGTTTTGGATTTGTTGTAGGTGATGGTATTGTGTATTTATCTCTCCCCCCCTTTTTTGGCTGTTGGTATAGTGGGATTTGGGATTATCTATTGCCTGTGTTTTTATGTGTGGTAGTTAATTTCCTTGGGTTGAAGTTTTCCTTCCAGAACTTTCTGTAGGGCCAGATTAGTTGATATTTATTGTTTAAATCTGGTTTTTGTCATTGAATACCTTGGTTTTTCCATCTATAGTGATTGAAAGCTTTGCTATGTATAGTAGTCTGGGGTGGCATCCATGGTCTCTTAGTATTGGTTGAATATCTATCCAGTACCTTCTGGTCTTCAGTTTCCATGGAGAAATCAGTTGTAATTCTGATAGGTTTGCCTTTATATGTTACTTGGCCATTTTCCTTTGCTTCTCTTAATATTCTTTCTTTATCTTGGTTTTTGGTGTTTTGATTGTTATTTGGCGATGGGACTTTGTGGTCTATGCTATCTGTTGTTCTGTAAGCTTCTTGTACTTTCATTGGCATGTCTTTATAGTGTTCTTCTATAATTTTATTTAATGTTTTTTTTTTGAGGTGGGTTTCTTTTCCTTCTTCTATACCTATTATTCTTAGGTTTGGCATTTTCACGGTGTCCCATATTTTTTTTTTTATCATAGAAATCACTTATATGTATGCAAAAAGGAATTCTTAAACTAAGTTATTTCTTCTGAAGCCAGAGTTGTCTGTTCATGGTAGGGTCTGTTTCTGTGGTTGTCTGGCTTTGTATCTGGTAAATGAGAGACAATTCCGCTTCCATGCACACAGGTTACCCTGGCACATTGCCACTGATCCTGTTGAAGATCTGAGACTCCAGATCCTGGGAAAAGAGAACTGCTCCTTATAGTCCTTGCAGTTGCAAGAATAGAGGGCAGAGCTTGCTCTCTGAAATGCAACTCCTAGTGGAGAGAGGCAGTTAGGTTAGTTCCTTCCTGGGAGTTTATAAACATCCTGACAGGTGTGAGATGGTATCTCAGAGTTGTTTTGATTTGCATTTCTCTGATGGCTAAGGATGTTGAACATTTCTTTAGGCATTTCTTGGCCATTTGAGAATTCTGTTGCCCATGTTTTAATTGGATTATTTGGTTTGTTGATATCTAGTTTCTTAATTTCTTTATACATTTTAGAAATTAACCCTCTGTCGGATGGGATGTGGTGTTGGTGAAGATCTTTCCCATTCTTTAGGTTTCTGTTTTGTTCATTTGATGATGTCCTTTGTCTTATGAAGCGCTTCAGTGTCAAGGCCCCATTTATTGACTGTTAATCTTAGTACCTGCACAGTTGGTGTTCTGTTTACGGAGTTGACTTCTGTCCCAGTGCATTCAAGGCTATCAGGTTCTCTCTGGGAAGGAAAAGTGACTGTTTGGATTGGAGGGGGGGTGTTGGAGCTTGAAGGGAGGAACTGGGAGAACAGGGGAAGAGGGGGGAACTTTGATTGATTTGGGAAAAAATCATTTTAATATAAAAAATATCCTGATATTAGGAAAGTTTAACCATAAGCAATGGATGCTGATAAATCCACTCACCCTACAGACATAACTTTATATCTGGGGAATGTTTGGGGAATGTGCTCCCAGGACAGTGACATCTCTGTTCTTAATGTCTAAAAAGTAAGTGAGTCTACAGTAGGAAAGGCATAACATTCATTCCAAGTGGCCTGCTATACCAACATCATGGAATGGCCTGGAGCAAATTAGCTGCTAAAACCTTTGAAATTATTTGGATACTTCAGAGACCATGAAAAATTGTCTCCTTGTAACATCCAGAAGATGGGATTTCTTGGTGAAGCTTGATGCACAGTGGGAGTTGTTCTCTCTTATTGTGTTAATTGTAAATGCTACCAGGGAAAGCTTGCATTTGTTTCCTCTTCCTTCCTTCCTTCCTTCCTTCCTTCCTTCCTTCCTTCCTTCCTTTCTTCCTTCCTTTCTTCCTCCCTTCCTTTTTCCTTCCTTCCTTTCTTCCTTCCTTTCATAAATCATTGTTCTCTTTGAACTTTGGGCTTAGGAAAAAATTTAAATGGCAATAAAATCTTCAGTTCTCTGGGAACTAATTTATATATCAGAACTAGTTCTTAAAATCTTCCCCCTCCATTATAACAGTGTATGGGATTAAGCTGTTGAGTAGGCCATCTCAGAGCTACAGTTCCATGTGTCAGGAACAGCACTGTATTTTAGAAATATAGATTGTAAAGTGTGATAAATGCTATGTAGGTATGAACCATGAGATGCGAGTTACTGGGACATTATTGCAGCTCGATTTTTATAAGAAATTCCTATATAATAATTGTTAAGTTTGTGTTTATAATTAAAGAAAAACTTGAAGCAAGTCTTGAAGCAAGATGTAAGAAATATTTCATTGGGGAAACATTTTATGATTGTTGTACTGTCTCTTCTAATTTAGTTTAAGGATACTACTTTTTTGCTTGTGTGTTGAGACATTCTCACTATGAAGGCAAGGTTGGCAGGGAGCTCACAGAGATCTATCAGCCTCTGTGGCTTGAGTGCTGGGATCAAAGGTGTGCACCACCATACCCAGATGAACTACCTCTTAGAAGATGGCTTTTCACAGTGTCTTTGTTTTTGATTATTCCTGCCCAAGTGCACTTCTTACCTCTCTTTAACAGACACCACTGTAATAATTTCATATTGCTTTCCCTGCTGTTAGTCATTGCAGGTGGAGTAAAATATGTTTGAACTGTGATATTAAGCAAGCCTCTGCCATTCCATCCCACTGCCTTGTCAGCCTTTCTGTTCTGGTCCAATAAATGCATCAAAAAACACAAACCAGGCTCCTTTCCTGTTCTGTAGTGTTTTCTTGGTCCCCAGCACTTCCCCCCTGTTTGAATGTTTCCTACAATTTTGGCTTTTAAAAATACTGTATATTCATGGATTAAACATTCATGGATTGAAATATCTTCCTTGTTGTGGTCCTGATACAGTTTAGCCTGTGTTTATTCCTGCAGATGCTGCAGGGATCCATGAGATTATAGCACATCTGCTGCTTTGTCATAAAGTCACTTATGTTCATGTTGGTCTGTGTCCAGATAGCAAATAACTTCTGATTTGTTTTTTTTTTTTTTCTCCTAGTGCCTTAACATCACATCCACACCCCTAGATCACACAGGTGGAGACATCCAGAACTTCCTCATAGCCCAGTGTTATAGCGTCATCTCTGTGAATGTAAGTACTAAGCACAAGTGGTTGGAAGCATTTGAGACCAGAGCAAACAATTTCAGAGAGAAGGGACGCTTCTTGACCCTTACATGTGCAAAAAAAGATTTTGACAGATTAGTTCTGTTATTTATTATATGCTAACAATTGTATTTTTACCATTTCAAATAGTAAAACATTATTTTCTAAACCTGATTCCTAGAATAAGATGCAAGTATTTCGTCTGTAGACAGTTCAACCCAGAAAATTGCTGAAATCATGGTATGCATAAATTGTAGGTATCCTTTAAAGTGGTTTAATGGTTAATTCTGATAGTTCCATTGAATATGTTGTAAAGTTCATCTCCCCATGAGCCAGCTTCCATTCTGTAAAAATTTCCTGTCACTTTCTCTTATTTTCTTATCTTCAAGGTTGTGTCCTCGGATTTTCAAAAAACTCAGAAGTTCCTGAGCACACTTGGAGAGAGCAACCTTCCTCTCTTGTATCCTGTAGTTGTTGTTTTGGTGAGTAAACATAATTTTCTCTGCTTCCTTCTTGTTCTTATCTGAAAAAAAAAAAATGAGTTTAATTGACAGTGCATACCAACATGTAGAAGAAATTTCAAGGTTCTTAGGCTTTTTCTGCTGACTTCTGCTTTGTAGCTGTGATCATATGGCTCAATGACACTGGAAAATTAGTTGATCCCATTAGTAATAATTTTCTTTATCCTCACCAATATAACAAAATATATAACCAAGTTTACTGGTTGTTAAGTAATGTCTGAAAGCTTTATTTAGTGTTGTCTGTCAACATAACAGAAGCAACAGCAGAAGAATCCAAAGGCTTAAAGAATGTCAGGAAGAAACAACACAGAAGAAACTCCTTCTTGGCTTCTCTGTGTCTTAGAAGGAGTAAGTAGAATGACTGAGTGATTGAAGAGAATATTTATAAGAATGGCCTGGACATTTTTGGAGAAACACATCACACATCACACCCCACCAACACCCACCTACCACCCATCTATCCCCGCCACACACACTGACAAACACATTTGTAAATGACTGAAAGAATACATTGACTGAAGAATTCACTTGCTTGACCTGCTACATTCTGTATCAGAGGAAGATAACAGAGAGCAAAGCCAGTGAGGAGAAAAAGGTTAGAATCTATGCCAGCCTTGCTGGCTGATGAACAGGGCCTGAAGTCTGCAACACTATTTTACCCCGTGGGAGGGCTTCCAAACTTTCTATAAAATTCTGAGTAACTCCCTGTCCCTGAATCTCAAGCTTATTCTGTACTGTGGGAGCTTAATTTTTGTTGTAAGTAAGATAATTAATGCAAAAGAAAGATAATAATAATAATACTATATATTTAATATAACTCTAATGTGAGCAACAAAAGCAGGAGTAAGTTGGTTCAAATAAGATTAGTGCATCCACTGGCCAAGCATTTCTGATTGTGGGCCCAAAAGATAGGTTCTAGGGGTGCAGCTCATATGGAAACCTATCACAAGTGACTGTTCTACACAGCAACACAGTGTGTCATTTAGTATTTTAGGAAGGTTGTGAAATCTACTCAGCGGTGGAAGACTCCAGGCTTTGAAGAATGCAGGACATAATTGAAGACCTGGGTTGAGCCTTCTGTTCATTTTCCAGGTTTATTTGCATAGAAATCTTGATTTGTCACTCATAGGTGATATGGCAAAGGGGTTATGCAGTGTAGTGAGGAGACCAGTGCCGTTGTTCCTGCCTCAAGATGCTTAACTTTGAGGTTCATTTATTTGAGTGCAAAATGGAAGATAATAAAACCAACATTGTTCAGAGTAGCAAGAATGAATTCAGAAAGTCACTTTTGAGGTTCATTTTCCTGAGTGTAAAATTGAAGATAATTCAACCCCGACATTGTACAGTTGGCAAGAATGAACACAGAAAGTAGCTTTCAGCCTAGAACTGGAGCCTCGGCAAGCCTACAATGGTGGCATTGCCCTGGTGCTTGTTTCCTCTTTTTTTCCAGTCTGGATAGGATGATTCAAAGTTCACTTCCAAGTATTGGTCACATTTTCATGTTTCTCCTGGGTACTTCATTGGGTTGCTTCCCTTCCTAAATTATCAACTCTATCACATTATTTCTAGGCTAACAGTTATTAAAACTATAACAGTCACATTAGGCCAGAGGCACCCAAGGGCATTGCCCAATGAACAAAACATTTAGCTGATTATTCTTCAAGTTATTAGAAGTATGGAAATACTATAATGGTAAAATTAGATAAAATGACTATAAGTCATTTGGAGTAGGGTCTAGGCTCTCCTTCCTGTCTCTAGGCTAAGGGAGTATCCCTCCATGGGGAATGTGCTATCAAAGTCCTTTCGTGTACCAGGGATACATCCTGATTTCATTGTCAGAGTCCCTTAGACTGCCCAGGCAGATTTTGTTGATCGCTCCTGGAAGTCATCACACTCCCTGTGGAGTGTGAGGGGTGGGTGGGATGGGAGGGTGTTCAGGGAAAATGGGAGGGAGAAAGAACAGGGATTTATATGTAAAATAAGAAAAAAATTTAAAAAATGACTGTAAGTCTAGATAGGTTATACATTAAACATTAAAGGAAACACATACATACATACTTGTATGTACTATGGAAGTTTATATTATAAATATGAATTTTGTTTATGTTTATATTTTTTATATCCATATCTTTATATGTTACATTTATAACATTTTGTTTAACTGGATTAGAGGTCTCAAATGCTGTTTTGTCTACTTTGCTTCCTCTAACTGCTGAAGAATCAATGCAAAATATGCTTTTATAAAATTTTTAATAAAGCTATAATTAAATAACAGCAAATTCTAAGATTAGACAAAAAGGCATCTGGTTGTTTTTTTACACAATATTCTTTATTCATCATAAAATGTTCTAAAATTATAATTGATAAATACATATTTCTACTTTGAACTAGTATGGTTCAGTAGACATAAAACATAGCTTTTAGGGATACAAAGTTACTTGTAGCCCAGGCTGTGTTGCCAGGAATGACCTGGAACTCCTCACCTCCAAGTGCTATGATTACATGGCCGTCCCAACCTTTCTGTTCAACTGTCAATGCTGTTTAGTCTTAAATGACTTGTATAAGGGCTATCAACTTCTAATTTGACTCTTCCCAAGAAGAGTCATCTGAAAACCAAAGGAAATTATGGTTATTTCATTCTCTTTTAGACACTTGTGAAATTTTTAACTGACATCTGCCTATTTTGGAAAGTTACAACCGCCCTGTCTTCATTGTCTACGCTGTTGAGTGTTGAGTCAAATATAGTAAAAGGAGACTGGAGATCAATAAAGCTGAGGCATTTGACACAAGCATTTGTATGCACACATGTGGCTATCTGTTAGAAGACAACTCCTAGAAATCAATTATCTCCTCCAAATTGTAGGTTCTAGGACTTGCACTCCTGGCCTTTGCTTGGTGTCTTTATCTACAGAGCCATCTCACTGGCCCTGGGTTGTAGTAAGTGTTGAACATTGGTGTTGGGGTATCAGCTTTTGAATAGATGGTATTTAGGAAATTACACACTGAAAGGAAGTAAGGATGTGCTCCTTAGTTTTGACATAGTGGATTGGATTTATTTTAGATTTTGTACAAGTCTTTCTTATGCAATTCCTTAATTAAACTCAGAGGAGTTAGGACATCTTAAATCCTGGAGATTTTTATTGTTTAGGATAGACTGATGTGGGGAAGTAGTTTCTACTTTAAGATCCAGATTAAATAGTGCACAAAGTTTCCACATAAAGACAAAGGAAAAAATGAAGCATTTTGGAAAGAACTAAGAAACTTAACATATTTTTTCTTTTTAAAGAGCTAGTTTTTTTTTCATAATCTTTTTATGCACAATATCTTGCAGATATTGTGTAATAATATATTACAAGAAACTTCATTTCAACTGGTCATTTGTCTAAAATATTTTTGGTGACTTTAGTTCTCTAAAACATCTTTTATTTGCCCGCCATCTTCAAAATACTGTTGTGGATCATCTAGTTGGTCATCATTCTTATTTTCCCTTGTTTTTATATTGGCTTACTTTCACAAATTCTCATGCTGATGAGATTAGTATTATTGATGGAATAAACTTGTACTAGATTTTATATTTTTATTCATTTTTTGAGAATTTCATATGCATTTTGAACATATTCACACTCTCATCTCTTCCTAGACTACCCTCTCAATATCCCATTCTTTCCTACTGAAGTTTGAGATTATTGTTTTTTCATCACTGAGTCCAGTTTGTGTTGCCCAACTGGTCTCAGGATTGGGGCCAGCTCTGTAGTGTAGTCACACTACATGTGTCATGAAAGCAACGGACTCCCCCTCATGCAGCCACTATCAAATGCTAATAGCTTTTCAGTCAACGGTGAGATCCAGGGTCTCCCCACATCCTTCTAGGCTGGAGGCTAGCATTATTTTGATCAGTCCAAAATCTTTGTTTTTGGTAGATTTAACTACATAGTTCTACAATGATCCAGTGACTGTTGGTAATATTGGCTGGTGGATTAAAACAGATGTTTGTATTAAAGGTGGAAAAAAGAATCTCTTATAGAATTATTCACAATGCTAAGTTTTAATGAGTTTTTTGTTCCATACAGTATTTTAGTTATGACATTTAGAAGTACATCATCAGATGATAAGAATGTCTCTCACTGGAAGACTATTCCATATTTGGAAGAAAATATTATAGATTTAGTACATATGAAAATATTAATACTTTAGATAGTTTATGATATTCAGCAAGAAAATTTTTAAAAAAAGATTGGTTTCTTTCTCAAAAATTTATGTAAGAATGATGGATTCTCTTTGAGGTGTGATTTCTGTTTTGTGTGTATGTGTGTGTGTGTGTGTGTGTGTGTGTGTGTGTGTGTGTGTGTGTGTGTATGCGTGTGTGTTGTATATGCATTATATTTGATAATATATTTCCAAGTGACTACATAATAGTTTTCTATTGTCCTTCTGTTCTGATCCTCTCCCCACTTCTTTTAGTTCCCTTTGTCTCATAGGCAGTTGTGTTTTGGTCTCATTTCCTCAATACCTACATGATTCTATCCATCTTTACAAAATCTGGGGTCCAAAGTGGAGAGAAAACATGGTATTTGCCTTTTTGAGACTGATTTAATCATTGAGGGATATTTTTGACAAAGTTTTTGCCTATGCCTATATATTGAAGGATTCCCATAGCTTTTTTTCTTAATGTTGCATATTAAGAGCTTTGATGGATTTGGGTTTTGTTCTAGTTGAGAGATAGGGATCTTCTAGGTTCTTTCTTAGATATATGCATATACATATTTCCAGAATTATTATTCAAAAATTGTCTTTGTCAAAAATTAGGTGTCTCTGGCTGATACTGTGTGTATTTACTTCCAAGATTTTCATGCTAATACATTGATTTATGCATCTGTTTGTCCAAGTGGTCTGCTGCTTTTGTTACTGTGACTAATATATCCTGAAGCCAGGGGTGGTTCTTTCTCCTTAGGATTGCTTTA